CATTTTTGGGCGCGCAGTGGGTAACCTTTGGAGTTTCAACTTGTTGGGTCGGAGTCGACCTGGTGCTCAGTGTTGGAAGGGACAATTGAGAGAAGCTGGGGCTTATGTTTAAGAGTATCCGAGGATCGTTTCGAGCTGTCTTGACCGTTTTCTTGTGCCTGAGGATAGAGTTTTGAGGATCATTCCTTCAGAAGAGTTATTATAGTTGTTCAGGCGGTGGGTCCTTAGTGCGATATGACCTTTCCGTTCCTCCTGAGTTCGACTGGGATCGATTAGAGAATCTGAATTGGTAGAGTGTTCTTAGAGTCTGTTATTCGATGAGCGGTTAACATGATGATATTTTGTGAGGGTGGTCTGACAGGGAGACAGACCACTAGAGCTTTCAAGTTTTGGGGAGTCAGACCGAGTACTGCAGCGGCAGAAGGGTTTGTTATTTCTTCGGGGTCGGGAGTTCCCGTTGGGTCCAGGTATCTTTGGAGGAGATTGTTGAATGATTTGAGGCCCTTTCGGTGGTGCTTCGCGAGTCTTGGGTTCGATATTTGTGATGATAAGGAGCGATTTCGAGGGCAAAATCTAATTCAAGTGGGGGAGAATTGTAACATCCTGTTTTCGGGTCGTCAGTGTTTAGGGTTTGTGGGCTGCAACCCAGACATGAGGAAGTCTCAGGGTTGCGACGAGTTAGTAGAAGCGTAAGGCATCTCGTCACCTTTCTTGTGGGTATGACGTTCTTTGGAAACGGAGTCATAACGAGGAAGCATTGGAAGTTTGAAGTGTTGGCAGGATAAGTCCCTTAATTTGAGAAAGGTGGCAGCTGAGTACGCTGGGCGTACGTGTGTGTACGCTTAGCGTACTCATGTGCGTGGTTTTCAAGTGGAGCCACCTAGTACGCTGGGCGTACTAGGCACAGAGTGAAAACCCTAATTTTGAGTGTGTCCCTATATAAAGAATGATATGGCCTCATTCCTGGCCACCACCCTCAGATTTCAAACCCTCCTAAACCCTAAACCTTCGTTCATGGAGTTTGTGGATGCATTTGAGAGCCTTTGAGTGCTTTAAGTGTTCTTGTGAGATTTTTTGGAGTGGGGAAGGAGCATGGAAGAGAATAGTGTTGGAGTCGAGGCTTTGGATCTGAGCTTTTCTGTGGATGGAGCATCATTTGAAGGTATAAAGCTCAAAGCTTTCCCATCCTTTTGATTTGTGCATGTTATGGTCCATTTTAGGGTTTTTGGTCCCAAAGCTTGAAGCTTTATGAGTTGTTGCACTCCAGAGCCTAATGTTTGTCCTTAAAATATTTCTAGTGGAGAGGATCCATAAAAATGAGGTCTTGGACGTTGGTATCAAGCCATGCATGAGTTATGAGCTTTTTGAGATAAGAGAGTGGGTGTTTTGTGTGTTTGTGACCATATCAGCCATGCACAGGCTTAAAGTCACTGACTTTATGGAGTAAGAGCTATTAGGGAGACCAGATCTGAGAAATAAGCTAAGGTCTTAACGGGTTAAGAACAAGAGAATGGACTAAGCAAAACTGGGCGTACGCCCAGCGTAATTCCAGTACGCCCCGCGTACTGGGTTGGTGTCCCCGATCAGATTCGTGCATGCTAGTGTACGCTGAGCATACCAAGGGAGGTACGCCCCGCATAACCTCTCTGTGAGCTTTTTGGGCTGAATTTATTATTAGGCTTTAAGGGTTTGGCCTGGATCTTTGGGCTTGTGTATTAGTGACTTTGAGCAGAGAAATATTATATTGTGCTTTGGGCCCTTGAGTTGGGCTTGCCATTTAGATTGAGAATTGGGCCTTGGGAGAGCCTATTTATTATTGGGCCTTGGTGGGCCCAATGGGTTTAGGTTGTTGATGGTCTGGTTAGTGGACCTCCTGTAGACCTAATGAGTGAGAGTTTGGTCTTAGTTCCTAATTGGGTTAATTGTGGATTTGGATCAGAGTTAGAGGCCAGTGCGTGACAACATCGTTTAGGGGTTGTTCATCATTCGAGGTGAGTCTTCTCACTATATACTTACCATGAGTGGTATCCTTGTGTGACTGAGATGTCTTATGTGCTTATTTGTGTGTTGTGATATTCTGCATTATGTCTCTGTGATTTATGCTGAGTATTGTTATTATGAGCTTATTGAGTTAGGACCGGAGGGTCCACCTGAGTTCTGGGACCGGAGGGTCCCACTGAGACACATTGACCGGAGGGTCTTATCTGAGTATAGCCATGAGAGGCTACTGATATGTGTGTGGTATTTTGGGGAACTCACTAAGCTTCGTGCTTACCGTGTTATGTGTTATGTGTTTCAGGTTTTTCTCAGGATCGCAGGAAGGCACCGGCTCAATTGTACACACCAGAGAAAGAGTTATGTTTTGAGGATCCTGGATTATTAAACAAACAATTATGGAGATGCGTTTTGTAAACTAAATAAATGAGATTTTGTGATATGCGTTATGAGATTTATATGAATTTACAATGAAAAATTTGTTTTGAAATTTACGGTGTTACAAGTTGGTATTAGAGCCTTGGTTTGAGAGATTCGGATGCACCTTCGGGTGTTACAAGTTGGTATCAGAGCCTTCATTCTGAACTGAAGGTGTAGCAACAACGTACTGTGGTGGCCTAAAAGATGGAAACGAGGGACGTGACTGTCCAGAAGACCTGTTCTGTTGTGATGCCTGAGACTGTGCGGGTGATCTCGTTTGCTGTTGCTGTTGGTTTCCCTTATTTGTTAGCAAAGGACAATTTGCCTTCCAATGGTTCTTCTTTTTACAGAAAGCACACTCATCAAATGCAACTTTAGGACGATTATGGTTTGAAGACTGAGGTCATTGTGGAACAACAAAAATAGTAGGATTGGTTGTCTTGAGACCTTTGTCAGCATGGGACTTGATACGAGTTTCTTCAGCAATCAACTCGTGAACAACCGAATCAACAGTGGGAAGAGGTGTGCGATGCAAGATTGATCTGCGCAAACCTTCAAAATTTGAACATAATGCCATCAAGAACTGAACCAAACGTTGCTCTTCCCTTCTATCAATATAAGGCTTAAAAGCCTTCAACACATCAGGTTCTGTGAGAGCCAACTGATCCCATAAATCCGACATAGCTGCATAAAATTCCTGAACACTGAGATTGTTCTGTTGGGCAGCTCGAATATCAAACTCTAACTGATACTGCTTTGCAAAGATAAAATGAGTATACAACGTATCCAAGTGATCCCAAACCTCCTTTGCTGTGTCAAACTTTTCCAATTGAGTACCAATAGACTGGATAACAGAATTATTAATCCAGTAAGGTTGCATAATGATTAGCCTTATCGTCTGTTGGTTTCTTCTTGTCACTTGTAACAATCCCCCACATAGTCTTGCCTCGCAAGAAATTTTTCATAACATAACTCCAATAGGCCTAGTTTTTGCCAACGAGTTGATTACTAATGGACTGAAGAGAATCATTTCTTGGGGCCATATTTCAATATCAGTCAAACAGTAAATATGAGTAGCAACATAAATAATCAAGATCTCGAAATTAACAAGACCAACAGACGAAAAGAAACCCTCGAAATCGACGAAACGAACAACTCAAATCAAACTGAATACAGAAACGAGCAAGAAACCATACCCAAAATTGCGATGAACAGTAACATGAACAGTAACGTGAGCAGTGCGCTGAACGGTAACGTGAACTCGACCCCAAAACGAAAGTGCAGACGATCAACTGAGCTCTGATACCATGGAAAAGCAAGAAACAAGATGTTGTTTCTCGATTTTCTACAAAATTTGAGTATCGAGCCATGACGCCACTTGTGAGATTGTTTGGTTGAGATGGCTTCTTGCAGATATGGGCGTTCACATCTCTCAGCCTACCCCTTTGTATTGTGACAACGAGAGTGCGATAATGATTGCCAAAAATTCAGTGTTTCATGAGCGCACAAAGCACATTGAGATTGACTTTCATTTCACACGTCATCATCTTCAGAAGGGCACTATCTCCCTTCCTTATGTTCCTTCCTCTTTGCAGATTGCTGATATTCTTACGAAGTCGTTGACTGCTCCTCAATTCCATTTTCTATCTGACAAACTCTCAATGCTTATTGTCGTTGCATTGTGAGTTTGAGGGGGGATGTTAGCCTAGTAAGATTTTGGGCTTTATCTTGTATTGGGCCTTTTAGCTAGGAAACCCTAATTAGCTTCTCTATATATTATGTATTTCCCTTTCATTATATTCGTATTTCTTATTTGATAATAATATGAAACCCTAGCCGTTCTATATTTTGTTAGTTTGTACTTTCGTTTACATTTACAATATCCAAGTGGAAGAGTATTTTTATATGGGGAGCTTCATTTACGGCGATGGGGGCTTCCGACGATTAGCAAATAGCTTCATTTCCAACGATTGAGGCTTCTTTGACGATTTGTAATTAGCTTCGATTTGGTAAGTAGCTGAAGGGGGTTATTAGGGCTTCTCCGACGATTTCGAAAATGTGATCAACACATCAAGCCCTTCTTCTTCGGCGGGATCAAATGTAGGTACGGTTTCCTCTGATAGGTAAGTGCATTATTTTCTCTAATATTCAGTATGATATCTTATCTCCTATTCAGACTCTAGATTGGCAATAACATGTTACAAATATGAACAACCGATGAGGAGAGGCTCTCAAATCCCAAACAAAAGAGCCAATAGTAAATGAGAAGCAATGAAGTTGGGTTGTATTCTCCGGTGACGAAAACCACCAAAAACACAATTCTATTGTTGATGATTCTACATTTATTGACTTTTGGTGTTTTGATTTATGGTTTTTAAGTTCTGGGATTTTGATTTTTGGGCTTATGGAATGAAACGAACCAATTCCATTCCCTTAAAAAACCATGACGACGACCTTTATTTCTATAACCATGGGGTTGATGAACTTTAGTAGATGTTGGGTTGGTGAAATGTCGTTTTTTCATGGTGCCATTTTGAACTAAACACTCAATGTGTGCGACAGTCACATAAAAGGAGACAAGAAAGATGAGGTTATCGGAGGATCTGCTTCTCATACCTTGTGGAAATCCATCGGCAGTGAACAAGTTGAATGCTCTTTTGATAATTTATTGGTAACATCAATGGAAAAGATCAAATCAATTGATGGGGCCAAAGGATGGTACCAGATGGTCTGATTTGCTGGAGAAGGGAGGGGAGGACCATGTATTGATTTTCCGACGGCGATGACGGTCTTGATATGGTGGTGGTTGTTCAAATCATTGGTGGCAAAAATGTTTATGTCATCATTGATTAAGGGATGTCGATTGAAACGTGACATGAGCGTTTCTGATGTTCTTAAAGCTGGATCTTTGTGTTTGTGTGTGTGTGGAGAGAGAGAGAGAGAGAGAGTTAAAAGAGGGGCAACATAATATTTTCATGTTATATTTAACAAAAAAAAACTAACAGTGTTAGTCCTAAGGACTATTAGTGTGTTAAGTTTGGTGGAAAGATACCATTCATACAAAAAAAAAGTTTCATAAAACTTGTTTTGGGGACAATTTTAAAACAATAAGGACCACTTGTGAAATTTTGTCAAAGAAATAATTTCTAAAATGTCCGGTATTGTTCAATGGCAGTGGTGCACGGATATATTTTACGATCTTACGTCATCTGTGGGTCTGCTTGCAATCCTTGCCTTCCTCTATAAAAGACCAGCAGAAGCGGAAACTTGTGTATGACCAACCTATTTCAGGATCAGTGTCTGCTCGGATCTCACTTTCTGGTATTGAAAGTCTACCTAATTCAATTCATCTTTCTGAGTCATCCTCCTTCACTCAATTCTCAGGTGATTTGCCACTTTTGCTTTTCATCTTTATCCGTTATATTGTGTAGTCTCAATGAACTTGTGGTTTTTTGTTTGATTTTTCGTTATTGCTTAAATCTTGCTGAGGTGCGCTTGTAAATATGCAGTTCTTCCGAAAGCATAATGTTTGTGAGACACGGACACATCTGGTTTTTGAAGAAAGACGATAAGAATTCCTGGAAGTTGCTATTTTTGTTTTACATATACGTGAACCTCCTTCGCTCCGATCCCTAAAATCCGTTTTTTTCAGCTGCTGAAAGCCCGAAACCCCAAATCATCTTTTTTTTTTCCCTTGCTTTTACAACCAAATTAGTTGTTACAGAACTTTGACTTGAAGAAGAAAGAAATTTCTTTATGGACGATCATACCACGATGTTTGGATCCGATTTTGATTGCTCTAATCTGTCTTCTTCAACCCTTTTGGATTATTCACCTTCTTACTTTACTTCCACAGACGTATTCATGGGATGTTTTGATCCAATCGTTTCCCCTGAAGAAACAGATATGAACCCTCTTGATGATTATCAAGAAGTTTTTGATAATCGATTGATTCAAGCCTTTGAAAATCTGTACCAAGGTTGCGAAGTGTTCACAGACCTTCTTGTTCAACTATGGCTTCCAGTAATTAGACATGGCAAACTAGTCCTAACCACAGTGAACAAATCATTCATAATTACCTCATCTGATAACACAAACCTCTTAAATTATCGAGAGGTTTCCAAGAACTACCAATTTGCTGTTGAGTATGATGCTACTGAGATGATCGGTTTCCCTAGCCATGTTTTCATGAATAAGTTTCCCACATGCACACCAGATCTTCGAGTTGTTGCAGAAGGGGATGACCCTCGTGTGATTTATGCTAAAAAACTCCACCTTTGTGGGTGTCTGAACCTCCCTGTCTTTGAATTAGATGGTGGAACTTGCTTGGGTGTTGTTGAGGTGGCGACAACTTCCCAGAAAATCAACCTCCGGGATGAATTCGAAAACATTTGTAAAGCTCTTGAGGTCTCTTCTATCTTCTTTTCTATAAAGGTTTCTGTGTTTCTGGCTCGATCGTGTTAGGTTTACTTCATTCACATCATGTTTTGCAAACTTGTTTTTTTTTGTTAAATGAGTTGACTTCTTGGTTCAATCTTTTCTGAATCAACTTTTACTTGCAGGCTGTTGATCTAAGGAGTTCGGAGTTCTTGATCCATCCAAAACAAAAGGTAGGAATACTTTAAGAAACTCATCAATAAAAGTACATTTAATTCAACCCTTTTCTAATATCTCGTGTATGTTTCTGTTTATCAGGTTTTCAGTGAACCATACGATGCAGTACTTGCGGAGATTCAAGATGTTTTGAGAAGCATATGCAATACTCTCAATTTACCATTGGCTCAAACATGGGGCCCATATGAAGGCAGATCCGGAACCATTTCCGTGATCGAATCCGCTTCGTATGTGTTCGATACGGAGATTTTAGGGTTCTTTGAGGCGACCTCCAGCCAGCAGCTCGTATCAGGAGAAGGTATTGCTGGTAAAGCGTTGGGTACAAACCAACCTTGCTTTACTGACATTAATGATTTTTGTAGGACTGATTATCCGATAAGTTCTTATTACGGCCTGAATGCTGCCATGGCAATACGACTCCGTAGCACATACACGGGACCCACCGATTTCATCCTCGAGTTTTTCCTGCCCCGTGATTGCAAACGAGATGAAGAACAAAAACAGATCGGCACCTCGATAATTTCGATGATAAAACATGTTTCTTGGAGCTTGCATTTGATAAACGATGAAGAACTAGTGAAAGACATGAATACCCGTGATGAATCTTGGATATCCGATATGGTGGAAGCAGGGGAGAGGGGCGAAAAAGTCATTTTGTCGATGGGGTGTCATAAGGAAGATCCAGAAGAAGAAACAAATACCCGACATGAATCTTGGATAGCGGATATGATTCAAGCCAGGGAGAGGGGCGAAAAGGTCATTTTGTCCATGGGGTGTCACAAGGAAGAACCGGAAGAAGAGTTTCAAGTGATAAACCAATTTTATAACGGACTCGAAAATCAAAATTTTCTCGAGTGGGGAACCGGAACCGGATCAAGAGGCCAATCTAAACGGTCAAGCATAAAGAATCGGGTGAAGACAGAGAGGAACATAAGTTTGCAAGATCTCCAACAATACTTTCCTGGGAGTCTTAAGGACGCTGCTAAGAGCATTGGGGGTTAGATACTTTCATACTTTCTTTTTTTATCCTGAAAAATACTGCTACGGACACCATTTTATCATTCCCTAATTTTCCTTCATGTTTTCAGTGTGCCCCACTACGTTAAAACGGATATGCAGACAACACGGAATCATGAGATGGCCATCTCGAAAGATCAAGAAAGTAAGCCATTCTTTAAAGAAGCTTCAACTCGTCATCGACTCCGTTCAAGGTGCTGAGGGGATGATCAAACTCGGATCATTCTATACCAATTTCCCAGACCTAAACTCCCCGATTTCACCTACACCTAAACCAAAAGTTAACAATCGGGTCAACCTCTTAAAAAAATCCCAAACACCATCCAATTCTTCATCTTCTTGCAGCCGTGATTCAAGTAGTTCATCGGGAAATGCGTTTCCCATGCATACCGAAAACGTTCAAAAGAGAAAGTTACCTGTAAACCACGTAAGCCAGTTTCTCTTTCAAAGTGCACTTCAATAACATAATTTTAAATATACTATAAAATTAGTTTTCATTATTTTATTATGTGAAAACAGAGCTACAACAACATGAACGACTTGATGTCAACACCAAAAGACAAACTAGTTGACGATCATCGGTTTGCAGAGGTTATCCCACCAACACTGAATGATGAAACAATTTTTAGAGTAAAAGCTACTTACGGTGATGAGAAAATTCGGTTCCGTATGTCGAAAAATTGGGGTTTTGGGGATTTGCATCGAGAGATTTCCAAGCGGTTTAATATATATGATATGGGAAATATTAGGATCGAGTATATAGATGATGACTCGGAATGGGTACTTTTGGCATGTGATGATGATGTTGAGGAATGCATGGATTTGCATACATCCACCAACAATCAAACGATTAAACTCGTTGTTCACCGGTCTACCCACCCGTCATTCATGTGGTAGTTTTTGCATTTGGGCAGTAATTTATGTACTCGTAGGTATCCCATACGGGTGTTATTAACCGTTGGGGCCTTTCGGTTGTTTTAGTATAAAGTACAAAAGTTGCTCCTTGGTAGTTTAAAGTCTGAATCCTTTTGTATGATACTCTAACTCTCAATAAAAATTGAGATTGTAACGAGTAGAGGATTTGAATTGTATCTATATTTTAAGCAAAAATTCAATGTGAGGTTGAGATATTTGTGAAAACAGATTATGTTGTCTTGGCTCATGGTGCGTATGCTTTAAACAATCATATGACATGTTTTCATTAATTTATTTTGTGCATGGTTTTCATTGTACATACATGTTATGTTGGTTTATTGGTATTAATAATAGGTTTTGTATCTATTATGGTTAGAATTAGACGTGGCAATCGTGTGGTGTCGAAACAGTAAACGAGTTGAAAGTGTTTGATCCTAAACCGACTTGTTTAATTACTGTGTTGTGTCATGTACTCATGTTAATCCGTTTATTTTCGTGTCGAGTTCGTGTTGGGTTTTATGTTAGGGGTATACACTGAAATATATCATGTAATGCGGGATTAAACACTAAATATGTTGAAAGATTAAGAGTTGGGTAGGTGTAAATGAAAAAGTAATAGTTGGGAGGCTCAATATATAAGATAATAACAAATTCAGATAGGAGGCAGAAGACGAGATCATGAGGGTGAGAGAGTCGTCAAATGGACCGTGTAATTTGGGAGAGAACGGAAAAACTGAAAACGAAGTCTTGATCTAAGCGGCTAAGCCACTTCCACCTTACAAAACGATTCAATGTAAATGTTTTCTTTTACTTATGGTATTGGTTTTGGATATTTATAGTTTATTTAAAGAATTCAAAAAACTTACATATAAATAAACAAGTCATTTTCGAGACATATTTGAGTCGAAATTCTCAACCGTAACCTTACCAGTTAAATTTCTGTTTTCTGTCGTGTAAACCCGTTTATTTAAACGGGTTGAAATATCTTACCCAAACCCGTTTATTTCGTGTCGGGTTTCATGTCGTGTCAGTTTTTGAAATAGTAAACGGGTTGAAAGTGTTTGACCCTAACCCGACCCGTTTAATTAACGTTTAATGTCAAAATATTTTGACTTGGATGTTAGGACCGTGATTGTATCACTTTTCGAAATCTGCAATTCGTCCCTATTGCATGAAATACACGAATTCGAAAGTGTGATAATCCAAGAACTTCAATTTTGATTACATGTCTAATCAGAATTAGAAGCACAAAATACATGTTGTGATGTGTTTTAGAGACATGGAAATGCAAAGTAATCGATTTTCATGCATGAAAGTTGTAATTGAACGATCTTATATGATCATGAATCATATTAAAGTGATATTGCTAACTAACATATGATGTTAATGGGTCACACTAACAACAACTTGATACAAATGATTATTTATTAGAAATTGATTTTAATAAATATTCAGTAAACTCTTATAATTAAATTGAAAATTATTTATTTCTAAGAAATAATAATTTTCATAAGCAAGTAACATTATATGATTCATATGGTATGGATTATTAAGTCATGTACAATATTTCAGACCATAAGGACTTTTTGTCTTTTACCAAAAGGTTAAGTTTTATAAAACTAGTCTTTCTATTCTTTATGAAAACCGTAGGTTGCTTCTAGTAAGCAAAACATGGGCTTTTTATTATTTAATTGGAAAGAAAGACAAGTCTTAAGAAGCATGGGGGGACACTTAGGTGTAGGGGCATGGTGTGCTTGAAGCATTAGGACCTCTGTGTAATATTTTAACTTTAAAGAAAGGCTTGCCCTCTCATTTACCTAATTCCATGCTTCAAAACTGTAGACACATACATGCATTCGATTCTCTCTCATTTTGGTTCATCTTCTTGAATATTACTTTGCTTTTGATGCTCTATTTATGTTCCTATTTTGATAAGCACATAAAGCTTAAGAGTTAAGAGTTTTAGACAAGCATCTACATCAAGTTGGCTTCTTGTTGGTGTCTCTAAAGTTCATCATTCTTCATCAACTTCCAAGCCTCCCACGAGGATCCAAAGAGCTACAAAGGTTGTTATTTGTTCTTCTTCTTATTTGGTTGTGTTTGTTTTCTTTCCAAACTTTGCAAGAAGATCCTTGGTGGGTTTAAACTTGTTTATGTTATTCAAAATGATCAAGTCTTCCGTTGCTAAATATCATGTTTTTGAAACTAGTTTTTGAATAAAAACCCAACAATTTGTATCAAGAACCACCTTGCAAGTTTGGTTAGATTTTTTGTTTTTTGGAAATCTTAGTTTTTAGAGAATATGGATAACTTGGTTTTGTATAAAAACAAGTTCATACATATTTTCTATGACAACTTTATTATTGTTATTTTATATGACAAAAGTTTTCATGCATATTTTGTCATTTAAAGTTGTCTTAAAAAAAATAAAAGTTGTTTAATGTGTATGTTGATATGTGTGATGTGCATAAACTAGCAATGACTATTGTGTTGTTGTGTTGGTTGTTTTATAAAAAATAGTTGTAATAATTTATTTATTCATTATGATATGTAATAAATTAAATAGATTAGTTTTCTTGGTTTATTTTTGTAAGTAATATATTAGTTGTTAGAAATAATTTATTTGTACAAAAATGTAACAAGAAATGAAGTTTGAGCCATTTTATGAAGACCAAAGAGCAATTTTCGAGTTTAACAGCATGCTGAAAGTTAGTGACAGTTTCTAAAAAATGTCACTAATGTTGTTTACAAAGGGTTGTTGGACTTTTAGTGAACGTTGCTTAAATATTGCTTTCAAGAAGCATTTCCAATCTTTTGCAAGAAAATGGTGTTTACTCAAGTGGGAGTTTCTACAACAACATTACAAGAATATTTTTGGTCGCTTAAAATGTCCATTTAGGAATGGACTTGACATTTTTTGTGTTGGCTCACAAAAAATATCATTAGTTGGTTATGTTTATACACATAATATTTTATACATGTTGTGTTGTTTATTTTATGCAATTATTATGTGTGGTTGATAAATTAATTTTTCACATGCTAAAATAATTTTGGACAAAATAAACATCACATGAAGTTTGGTTTTCAAAATTTATAATGTGGACATAAGATGTAACAAGTTATTAGTTTTAAAATAAAATCCGGTTTTATAAAAACGTTAATAACGTCAAATTTTGAAATACTAAAATATAAGTTTTAAAATGGTGATTTTTATAACTTATACAAACTCCAAATATATAAGTAATAAAAGAAAGTTTTATTAAAGATATAAAATGTTCAAATGCACTCAAACTTCATTCCGGTTATCAAAATTGAATCGCGTCGAATTATATAAATACTAGCTTTTATATAGAACCTTTAAAAGGTGATTTTCTTTTGAAATTTGGTACCATTGTTTATTATATGCATGTAATAACCATGATATCATATGCTTTTAAAACTAGAATTATAAAACATATAAAAGACCCTTTTTACAAACCTCAAATCTATGCAATCCTTTATGAAGAGCATTCGCACATCTCTTGTATGCATTAGTGGGATAAAGGATACTTAACCTCTTAGTGTTATCTTTTTATGGTCGGGGTGTATTTGCGATTTCTATAACCAAGTTATAGGCCGATTACACATGCTTTTCCAAATTGGACGATTTGATCAGAAATCTTTTGTGATAATGAATACCTAAGCAAGGAAATTATGAGGCATAGATGGGATCAAACATATCTAATTAAATTTATTATTAGCGATCCCATAAATCTAGGAATTATATAGTGAGATATAAATGATAATCGATATCTACTGGGTTGAATTTAAGTAGATGGGATAAATGATACCTAACCATTTATTTGTTTTGCAACTTGGATCCTAAACTTTGATAATTAATGGTTTTAGAAACTTAAAGTGTATTAATTATTACAGAGTTTAAATATTGAAAATACTAAATGAATTTTGTTAAAATTTTGTAGTTAAATAATCCATTTCATTACCATGAATTGTCATTTTATTTAATGACTTAATGAAATAATAACATTCACTAGATACAACTTCAATGAATGGGTTCATCTCTTAAGAGACAATCTCACAAGAGATATGAAATTGTATACACTTAAAGGTCTTAGTCCTGAACTATTTGCTTTGAGCAATAAGCATGAACATGATACCTAGTAAAGGCATCATTGTGATGCTACAGATGTTTCTAACATCAAACTAGGAATAGTACAAGGCCCAAAAGAGTTACCTTGTGTGATCTAGGATGCCCATGTTTTATGGACTAAACACCTTTAAGAACAAGAAATACAATAAGGCCCACATAGAAGGATCTTGTTTCTTTTTATGGAGAAACTAGACACTGGAAGATGATCGGCTCCTCTTATCTGGAAAGAAAGTCTGGAAGAGACTAGTACTTCAGGTATCTACTAGATAGAACTCATACTTTTTATATGACACTTAGGTACTTGGTACTTAAATGTTAATCTAATATTTGTAAATGACTTGCAGATATTTATTGAAGAGTAGCCAGGTGAGCACAATCAAGTTGGAACAACACTCGCGGAGTTTAGTTTATTAATTATGCTAGGAACATAATGTACTTGTAATATAAAACAATGTTTGTTTTAAAACAATGCATGTTTTAATTTAGCTTGCCTAAATATATGTCTCAATTTAATTTATGAAAGATTGATTATTTACTTAAATCGTTTTTCATAACAATCACCTTCATATTCAGAAATGATTAAAATTCTTTTTATGAGACTATATCTCTTAATAAGAATTATGAAGTAAATATCAATGTTTTATAAATAACAAGTTCTATATGCAAAATACTTTTAACTTAAACTTGTTTTAAATCAAACTCATCTTTGATATTGTTATCTTTATTATATAAATGACATTCACATATTCCAACTTCAAGAAAGGGATTCTTGAAGGAAAATAATGTAGTTTATTTGACATATGTGAATATTATTTATATATAAAAGATTCCTAATGATATTTTCACTAAGTAGTAGAGAAAATAAAATTACTAAGATTTAGCATAACATACCAAATCAACTTTATTAACAACTATAGTAGTTATAAATTATATTTTACATGTTAAAACATAATTGTGAAATCTTTATTGAAGGTTTCAAATATAAAATTGAAATACAAACCGGTAAGAACTATCTAAGGCCTTTGTGATATTAAAGGTTAAATTAAATCTTACTTAGTATTATTTACTTTCTAATCGGTAGAAATGTCATCCTTTTATTTCCA